AAGCATCTGGTTTGTGGTGGTGGCACCATCCGGACCCCGAGATGGGAATGACCTGGGGTATCGACGTGGAGCCCCTGTGGACAAGAGGCAGCCTGGACGGACCAGAGCGGACATGGGCACAGGCTCAGCCACTCCCTTGTCAGCTCTGCCTCTTGGCTTCCTTTGTAAAAGCCAGAGCGTCCGATCCTGCTGACCCGTGCGGAGGAAGAAAAGAGAAGGCGGGTCAGAGCATGTGCAGTGTCCTCGTAACCAGAGGCGGAGCCCCAGGCGCAGCTGCCTGGGTGGTGGGCTCGCTGTTCTTGAACCACCAAGAGTTAAAGATCTCCTCCCCAAGGTCATACAGCTACTTGGGGGAGGGGCAGAGCTGGGACTCCTACTCAGGCCATCAGAATCCAAAATGCCCCACCGCTGCCCCAGGACCTTGGGATTACAGGGGGGCTCCGCCACGCTGGGCTACGAGGCCACTCCTTCACTGTGAGGATCCACTCCAGGGAATTGCCTTCCTCCATGGGGGTTTGATTGCTGGAGGGGGAACAGATTTTGGCCATGGACAGTTCCCCCAGGGCCCAGGTGATGGAAGGGCAGGTAACTCTCCAAATTCCATTTGCTGGAGGACTCAGAGCCAGGAGAGCCCAACAGACCCACAGAGCCAGTCCCAGGGGCTCCTGGGAATTGTCACTATTCCTGAGGTCCAAGAAGGCTGGAGCTGTCTTCAGGGAAGTCTGTAAGTCACAGTGTCCCCGTCTCCATGCAGGGGTGCCCGGCCGGGGCTCCAAGTGGCTGGAGGGAGACACACAGGTAGAACCAGGGCAGCTTTCCAGATGCGGACTTGGACAGGAGGACGAAGACCAGCCCCAGGCAGCAGAACTGAGTGTGGGGTGGGGCGCTGAGCCTCAGGGGGTGCTGGAGAGTCAGAGATGAGGGGGGTGTGTGGTGCTGGTCTCAGTAAAGCAAGAACAGCTCCTTCTCCTAGTGCAACCCTCCCCCTGTGAAAGCCCTGAGAACCCAGCCATCCACTCTGGAAATGCAGCCTGAAGGAACCTGGATGTGGGCAAGAATTTCGCTTTGGGAAATGCACACAGAGAGGGACGGGGAACCACCCAAAGGCCTGCAGACTGGTCCTGTGATTCGTGATGGGGCCCCACGCAGAAAGCCACCCAGCCTTGCCCACGACGGCTGAGCAAGAGCATCCAAGGACAGGCCAGAGAGAGAGAGAGAGAGAGAGAGAGAGAGAGAGAAATAGAGAGAGAGAGAGAGAGAGAGAGAGAGAGCGCACGCTTGTAGTGTGTGCTGGTGAGAAGAGGGCAGGAAACCAGCAAGACTCCGTGCGACCAAAATAAGCTGTGGGATGGCAGATCTATGGAGATGTGTGTGTGTGCATAGACAGACACATGCAAATGTTAACATTTTCAATCAAACATTTTAGTATACATTTTTTTTCAGTATTTAAAAAATAGGCATGTACATATATATAATTATACATGTTGCCTATGTAAAACTATACATGCAGGTTGAGTATCACTTTTTCCCAAATGCTGGGGACCAGAAGTGTTTCCGATTTCAGATTTTGGAACATTTGCACATACATAATGAGATATCTTGGGGAAGAGGACTCAAGTCTAAACAAAATTTATTTATGTCCCATCTATATTTTATACATAGAGTCTAAAGGTAATTTTATGCAAAATGTATGTATATGTAATATGCATATATATATAGTGCTGTTTATGCAATATGTACATTATTTTTGTATATATATTTTAAAAAATATATATATTTAAAAAAAATTTTTTTTTAGCTATTGCTAGACCTTTATTTTTAAAGGGGGGGGGACACAAGCCAGGAAGAGTGTCCCCTTCCAGAACTGTGCCAAAGTAAACTGCTATCATTTAAGCCATCGGGCCTCTAGTGTTTTGTTACAGCAGGGCGTGGTGTCTTTCCCTATATGTAGTAATGTGTATGGTTATACATGGTGATACAGTTCCTCACATACAGTTCTTCTCCACGGAAACCTATGTAACTCTGACTATATAAGATTGGAGAGTGTCCATCAAAACGTCAGCCGTGGTTCTCTCTGGGCAGTGGGTTATGGATGACTTCTTTGTGTTCTTTCTTGTCTGCCTGTATTACATGAATTTTCTACAACAGACATGCTATTACTTTATGTTACTTACTACTTACGTTACTTGGTATTACCATAAGATAATTAGTATGAAATTTTCTTCTTCCTCAAGTTGTCCTCGGTCTTTGAGGCTGGGGCAGGGCAAAGTGGCCAGAGTCAAGTGTGCCTGCACCTCAGAGGTTGGGGCCAGGCCGGGACTGACCACACCTTAAGCCTTTGTGAGCCTCTGCTGGCATCATAACAAATGTTCCCCCGTGTCTTGGTCTGTTTTCTGTTGCTGTGACAGAATATCGGGGAGTGGGTAGTTTATAAAGAAAAGAGGTTCATTTTAAATCATGGATGTGAAGGCCAGAAAGTTCCAGACTGGGCGGCCACACCTGGTGGGAGTGCCTCCTGCTGTGTCAGGGCAAGGGGGAAATAAGCAGAAGGACAAGCGGGTGCGTGCAGAAGAAAGGGGCAAGTCCAGGAAACTGAACTTGATTTCTAATGAGCCGCCCTCTAGGCCACTGATCCATGCCCATTAACCAAGAGCCCAGCCGTTAGTCCCTCCTGCACAAAGACCTAATCACCTCCTAAAAGCTCAACAGCCTTACCCTGGGGACCAAGCCCCAGCATGAGTTTTGTTGGGAACAGAGCACATCCAAACCCTAGCATCACGGAAAACGTGGTTCCCTGTTCCCAAAGGGTCCACTCCTGTTTGCAGGCCAGGTCGAGGTCTGCAGAGGGCCGAGGTCTGCAGA